CCTGATTTTTTTGCCAGAGTTGCTCAACCCTATGCAAAACTTTTAAAGTTGATTTCTTTTCCCCCCTCTAATTGTATGGTATGGAACATCGGATCCCACTACAATAAGCTACCAGACATGGTTATTTCGTAGCTTCATAATCTCTTCCAACCAACCGCTTGAACAAGTTTACACCACTTCTAATACCGAAGACTTGGTCATATGGGAATCAGAAACTGACGGACGTTTTTCTGTCAAATCAGTGTATAGGCTCCTTTTTATGGATCGGGTACGTATTGTTGATACCTCTTTGGCTTTTCTTTGGAAATGGTCAGTTCCAGTTAAAATCCAAGCCTTCCTATGGGTTGTATGTCAAATGAGATGTTTAACAATAGACAATCTGTAAAAGAGAGGTAAAATTCTTCAAAATATTTGCTTGATGTGCAAAAATGATGAAGAAATTTGCTCTCATCTTTTCCTTCACTGTCTTTTTGCCTCTAGCTTATGGCTATGAGCCTTCTCTTTATTGGGTTTTTTCCTCATGATACATTTGAATCTTATCAACTGTATTAATCATCTTTCTGCCATTGGACTATTAAAAAATGGAGTAGTGATTTGAAAAATTTTCAGAAGTTCAATCTTATGGCAGATTTGGTCAGAACGTAATAGGAGAACATTTGATGGGGTGTCTCAGAGTATTGAAAGGGTGAAAGATCTCATTTTACAATATCTTTGGAACTGGTTTTCCTTGACTCCTGAAGGACGGGGTACTATTCGGACTGATATTTATATGAATCTAAAATTTTTAGCTCATTCCTCTTCTTGCACTAGCCGTCCCCGTAGAACTTGGATTGCACCTTTAGAAGATTGCCTCAAACTTAATTTTGATGGCAGCTCATTTGGAAATCTAGGGTCTGCAGGTGTTAGTGGGCTTCTTTGCAACAATTCTAGTTCGATTCATTTTTCTTATTCGGGTCCTCATGGGTCTACGATAGTCAATCATGTTGAATTGGCTGCTCTCCTTCAAAGCCTTCATACTATCATCGACATGGGTTTTATTGGTGATATTATAATTGAATGGGATTCCCTGAATGTTATCAAGTGGTGTAGAAAAGAGCAAAGGATCCCCTGGTCTTTTTTTACTATTTGGTTAAAAATTCAAAACCTATGTGCCTGGCCTAATTTACGGATAAGCTTCGACCACACCATCCGCGAAACCAATGATGTTCTTGATGGGCTTGCTAAACATGGTGTTTCTCTTTCTTTTTTACAAGTTTCTAACGATTTGATTCAATCTCTATAATCTCATGCTCTTGAAGCATTGTTTTAATAAAAATTCATAACATTTATAATATATATATATATATATATATATTTGATAAGCACACCCCTAAAATACAGCCATATCAAAAAAATTCTTCTCGAGAATCTGAGTTGCATGAGCAGAAACTCGCTTAAAATCTTTAATGCTTTACCACAAAACACTACAAAGTACAAACTCCTTGATTTTCTTGTGTAAGATCACTACCTTTCCTTTCCTGAAGCGTCACTGATCTTTTTAGTACATCTACTTCTCTCCTTGGTTTTAAAGCCTCACTTATGTTTGACTCTTTTGTCTTAATTCATAATTTATATAGATTAAATAATATTTTAAAGCGACACAGATATGTGGTAGGGTGAGAGGGTATAAGAGAAAAACGGAGAGACAGAGTTGCCACGTAACTTGCGACGTGGCAATCAGAAGGAGGGATAAGGGGAAGGCGAAGTTGCAATATAAAGATGATGCAAGCATGAGGCTAGAGATAGAGTAAAATTAAAAACAAAGGCACCATAAAAACAATTGAACCATCAATAAAAGGAAAAAAAAAAAAAGTTTTGAAACATACCTTTAAAATAGATTAACATCTCTCTCTACTAAAAAAACCTTATCACGGACAAACCGAAAAAACCTATAGCCTCTCAGTCAAAAAATCATCGATTTCTCTCTTTCAACTCGAAAAAAAAAAAACCTCATCAACGAATAACTATCTCTCTTTCAACTCGAAAAAAAAAACCTCCTCCATGGATAACTATCTCTCTTTCAACTCGAAAAAAAAAACCTGATCACGGATAACTATCTCTCTTTCAACTCGAATAAAAAAACCTGATCCACGGATAACTATGCAAACCCCTAACCTCAATGTCAATAAGCGCAATCTCTAATGGAAAACCATTAAGAAAAGGGTTGAGATATTGGGTAAGCAACCAAGTCATGCATTGTCACTAGTCCACGTATGAATACACATGGTTGCCCTTAATTGGGCCTCTACTATAATTAAAATGGTCAAAGGGATAGAAATACATATACACATCTAATCAATACAATTAATTATTGTACAATTGTATTGAAATTGGAATTTCCTTTTAAGACATCTCTCTCTCCAATCATACAAAAGGAGAAAAGAGGGGCATATAAATGCATATAAAAGCTGTGCTATTAAGATCAAACCATTGGAAGAGATGGCAAGGTTCTTGAATGAGTTTGGAGGCCATGGAAGCGGATTTTACAGTGGATTTTTTGCAATTTGTATGGTGGGGATTGCCGTTTCCATGACATTATTCATTGTGTTTTCATGTGCAGATGGGGAGACAAGGAAAAAACGTCGTGATGGTGGTGGTGGTGACGGTGGCGGTGGTGATGGTGGTGACGGTGGCGGTGGTGGTGATGGTGGTGGTGGCAATGGTGGTGGTGGTGGCAATGGTGGTGGTGGCGGCGGAGGAGGAGGAGGTGATTGAAGTTGAAGTTACATATAATGTGCCAGGTGACCAAGTTTTTTGTGGATCGGAATTATATCCTTCTTGCATATGCTTCGTATGTTAATTGAGAGAGAGAGAGAGAGAGCTATGGATGATTCATTTTAACAAGATGGTGCTTGTTAATAATACGTGTCTATTAATGTGTGCTTATTGGTGTTGATTTGTAAGTAATAGAAAAGAGGAAGAAGTTTATATTGAGAGTCTACCTTTAAGGCGCACCTATGGTTGTTCTGATGTTGAAAAAGTCTCAAATTGATCCGTTCAATTTCGAGATAGATGTGTGGATATGGAAAATAAAAGATTTTACATCATGAAAATCCCTCTTGTAACGTATTATCTGGACAATCATTTTTAGAAACGTGTGGTTTCTATAAGATTGCAACCTTCAACGATCCAATTAAGGTCCACCTTCAAATTTTATTATAAGATATAATTTTGATATAAAAAATTATTATAATTATCTAAAAATCTATTTTCATATCTAATTATAAAGTTTTAAATTCTAAAAATGGTTAAAAATCAAGTAGATCTATAAACATATGAAAATCGTGAAAATAGACGATCTAGATAATGCATTGAAGAAGCACTTTTTCTGGAAATTAAATTATTACTTTTTTCATATTCATTAATGTCGATGTTGAGATGATCGATTAGAGGCTTTTTCAACATTAAATCAATATTTTTCGATGGATTTTTGATATACATATGTAATTCTATATTTTAAAGTTGCAACCTTGTATAAACTTTTTTTGTTTTTAAATTATTAATTGTTTGTAGATATGCTCGATCTGCATCATTTTTTACGTTTTAAATTTAATAATTTGGTACGACAATATATCTTTATGCCAACACTGAAGCTGCATCTTTGAGTATAGTTTTAAGGCGTGGCTTATTTCTATAGTACAAGATTGACATCTTATACAAACCTCCCCTTAAAGAAGATTGACATCTTATGCAAACCTCCCCTTAAAAGAAAAAAAAAAATGCATGTATGGTTTCCTAGTTGGTTAAATACGTTAACATAAGATTCCATATTTCCAATTTGTTTGTATATTGAATAATTTAGGTAGTGGTAAGTGAAAAAGCGGGTTTTGAGAGGAGAGGAACCTTTGTCTCAAAGTAAAAAAAAAAAAAAAAAAAAAAAAAAAAAAATTGTTGACATATTGGATTTCAACTTTGGACCCAAAAATTTAAGATGGTAATATGATAAGGTCGATATTTTTTAGGCAGTTTTTTTATGTGCATTTTACTTCTACAATATGAAGTTGACATTGTATATAAATTTTTGAAAAGTATACACTAATACGATTAACATTTAGTACACGGTGGTCATAATCAATCTTAAACATTAAATGTGAAATTGGATAGTTGCATTTATTCCTCGGCCATGCTTGTTGGCAGCCACTATTCCACTAGGGTCCCCCACCACATTTGCTAAGAGAACATATTGATTAAAAAAAAGGAAAATTTACGTAAATATTCGTTTTACCAAAATACCTAAAACTTTATGTATTACTCATATGTTTCTTTTTTGTATTTCATAACGATTTATTTAAAAAAATACAAAATTGCCCATTTCGGTTTTTTAAAATCCAAAAAGAGCATGACTATGGTTTTTCAAAAACTTAAATGAACGTGATTTTGGTCTTTCAAAAACAAAAATGAATGTGATTTCGGTTTTTGAATAACCAAAAATGACTCATCCTTCTCTCACTACCCTAAACTTTCCGTCTACTCTTGCTCTATGCCATTTTGTCACGGAAAAAGTTTATATAAGGATGCAACCTTATACTGTACAACTACGGATGCACCTCAAAAATTCATAGGAAAAGGTAGTTTTAATGATGAAAAACCTTTTGATTGATCATCTCGATATCGAGATGTATGACCATGAACAATAAAAAAAATCAAATCTAAAAAATAGTGCACTTTACAACATATTATCTACACCGTGCATTTTTTAGATTTTCACATGTATATAGATCTATTTAATTTTAACTATTTTTTAAATTTAAAATTTTATAATTAGATATAAAAATAGGTTTTGAGAGAATCCCAATAACATTTTACATCAAATTTATATACCATGATAAAATTTAAAAATGCACTTTATCTCTACGGCTACATATGCATCCGCACGCCAAGTGCACCCTGTTTTTTTTTTTTTTCTTCTTTTCTCTCTTAAATAAAATCTGTGCAATTTTATCTCTCTTTCCTCTCTCACGAGACCCAACCCGAGAGCTTTCTCCCTCTCTTATATTATTTGCTGAACGGAAAGTTTAATTGTGATCTCTCCTTTATCCGAATAAACAATAATATATAAAAAAAATGAATCTGGTTTTTCCATGGACAGTTGGAAGGCACAACATTTGAGGTTTTGATCTTCATAATCCAAAACCATTTCCTCACAAGGAATGGTGATTCCCATGGTCAAATCCAAATGCTTCTTCTGCTCTTTACAAGAGGGACTTAAACTGAGGACCACAAAGCGAGTGTGCTTCTCTCCAAGATAAATCGGGAAATGTCCCTTTGCAACATCGCCATAAAAACCCATTTCTCCTGAATTTTTATCAGGATCAGGGCTCTGTTTTCTCCCCAAGCTCGACGAGCACCGAGTGCTTAGAGAGAGAAACACCGAGAGGAGGGGAGGGAGAAACCCGGACGAAAGGATAGAGATGAGGAAAATAAGCAAGTTTCAGAGTAGAGGGAGGGAAGTTTTTTACTTTTTCAAAAGGGAAGAATTGAAATTTTTTAAGGGAAAAGTTTAGATAGAGCGTAGGAATCAAATTAGAGCGTACCTCAAAACTTTCACGAGACGTAAAGATCAATAACGTGGATTTGGTAATCCCTCTTCTTTGGTGATCACGGAGACTTGCATCAACGAATCGATGGCATCATGAGTTCGAGCAAGCAACTGAATGAGTCGTAGCCCCAATCATTAAGCCCTCTTCCTCTCTCTGAGACATGATTAAGCAGGTCAGGTCCATTAATGGCAATTTAGGTGAGGAGAAAGGCAACAGATGGTTTAGTGAGAGCAGGGCCATGAATGAGGAGAAAGGCAAGGGATTCGATGGAAAGAGAGAAGCTATTTCAGCTGAGAGAATGTGAAAGACAAGGTCACAATTTCAGGCCACTGTTTCACCTCCTTAGCTTTCCCCTCAAGCCACACCACCCTACCAGAAGGGAACCACAATTACAGGGTCCTCCTTTTTTCACCTGAGATCCACCCCAAAAAATGAGAGAGAGAGAGAGATCATAAAACAACTCTCTCTTTCTTGCAACCTTCCGGCTAAACCCTTCCTTAATTTTTACAGAATCCGATCCAAATGAAAGGCGTGTTTGATTTCGTTACATTCTTGTTATGAGAATCGGATCTCGACCAAGTTATCGCTTTCACATGTTGGTGGGTGGATGTGAAAGCACGAACATTGTGCCTTTTAATAACTCAATATAGGTATGAAGCTGGTGTCCCACCCCTGGGAAGGCATTTTCACTGAAATATCCATTGATATGATTTCAACTCAAACAAACGTGTGGTCCACCAGAGAGGAAAAACTAAGGAAGGGCCTGGCTCCAAGAGAGGACAAACTAAGAAAGAAATTTGTTTGGTAATGGAACACATCCACTACACACTTCCTTAATTATCCACCATTTAATTTTGATTCTGGTAGACAATTAAATGATTTTTTTTTTTCAAAAATAATTTATTACTATAAAATACAATAAAATTTATTGAGGTAGCAATCGGGCTAGGCTTGAGTGATTAGAACTTGATTCTTGACATTAACGACGCTACATCGGAATTTTGACTGAATCATAAAAGAAACGTGTCTTGAGACACATTCAATGATTCAAGCAAGTGAAAATTGCAACGAAGCTTCACTATTTGGTCTTACAAAGCAGTCCCTTGCTTCACGGTCAACGATTTGAAAATTGACAAAAAAGAATATTTGTACCCTGCTATGGAGCTTGACTTTTTTGAATTCCACAATTCATGTCTTGGATGAGTAGTGGTATAAAAGGAGAACGAAAGGAGACTAATGTGCAATATAGACCTTGGTCATTTTCATCGTTCTAGATATGGCGAGGTTCTTGAAAGAGCTAAGCAGCCATGGCAGTTTTTCGAGTGAATTTTATGCAATTTTAATGGTGGCAATTACACTTTCTATGATGTCTTTTATAGTTTTCTCATGTGCTAAGGGCTCAAAGAAAGGGAAAGAGAAACCCTCCAAAGATGGTAAGAAGGGGAAAAAGAAAACCTCCAAAGTCGGAGATGGTAAGAAAGGAAAAAAGAAGCCCTCCAAATATGATGCTGACATTTCTTCGTGCTGCGAAGCATGCTGTTCTTGTTGGGGTGGCGGCGATGGTGGTGGCGGCGATGGCGGTGGCGGCGATGGTGGTGGCGGCGATGGTGGTGGTGGTGGTGGCTGTGGCGGTGGTGGTGGCTGTGGTGGTGGTGGTGGTGGCGCTTCTTGAAATTATTTAACATTCTTACTTCAATTATGGTGTGAGAGATTTGAAAATTTAATTGTTATAAGATTTTTTTATTTGTTATAGCATGGCTTAGTTTCTTCTATCTTTATTGATCACTTGTTTGAACAGTTAAATTGTTCTTCTCGGTTTTTACTTGCTTTTGTTTTAAGCACTTGGGGAATATCCAGTGAATTTAAACGGTGAAAGGATCCAATCCGAAATAGAAAATAAATTCCAAAAAGGAAATCTTGAGAATGCGCGAGAAGTCACTTGAAAGGAAAACGGTTATTATTGTTATTATATTAGGATAGTTTAATGGTACGAATTGAACTTGAGATATAGTCTTGCTAATGTCAATCGCCAACAACAGCTCAAGCTGAACTCCTATTCATAAAAAGGAAAAAAATTAAAAGCTTCAAAAGGTCTCAAACCAGAGAGTGTCTCAAAATGATAGTTGAGCATACTATATATAAAAAAAACGCACAACATAAATGCGGTAGGAATGCAGTTTTGGCTTTCAAATTATTTGGACGTCTCCATTTTGTAGGTTTATATGATTTAAACCGTGATTATTTAGTCCATTAAACTCAAAAAAAATTGTTCAAAGAGGTGAAACTCTGTAATAAGTACTCATCGTGGTTAATTGAGAAATCAGACTTAATTCTTCGTGATTCATGCAACCACCTATCAAGTTCAGTCGAAAGGAAGATTGGTCTAGGGCTCTGTAGTCCCTTAAAGGCTGTTCAACCTCGTCACATAATCTTCTGTGTCAACGGTGTCTAATACTTGGAAGACGGAGGATGCATCCCATTACTCTATGAACTGTACTGTCTCCAAAATAATTTTGAAACTATCATAACTCCACCATGAGTTTTCTATTTTGCAGAGTAGTGGCACTGGTGTGACTAGTTGTCATTTGTTCAATGACTATGGTCACAACTATGATCGCCTTTGAGTTATTTTGATTTGGTTGAGGCATCATCTCTGGCCTCGGGATAGAGTAATCCTTGAGGCCCAAAATTGTTATTTCAACCTCGATCAAGATACAATCCATTGATTTTTAGGGATGAAAGCTCGTGAAGTACCGTTCCGCAGGACTCATAGTTATTGCAAGGTGTCCTTCAATGCGGTAACTGAATACTCAGTTCTAACCATTGATTAAAAAATATTGCACCTATTTTTCCCTCCATCTACCTTGGATCTTATTCCCTCTTAGAAGGGTAGCAAGTTCTTGGTGCTTTCAATCAGAAATCCGCTGTGGTTATCTCAGAAGGGAGATCATTTGCAGTTGTGGTGGATTTTGAGAAGAACCTGCCTCAGTTAAGGACGTAATTAGAAGAATTACCCTGTAATCAATCTTGTATGCAAGGATTTAAAGGCCCTAAATCTACATACTACATGGTATTTCTTTAAGGCACAACACTCTGTTTTAAAACTAAGACATTTGTGTCAAGTTTATATCCTCTACCACTATGCTAATCACGCTTGAGTGTAAAAAATATGAACCGGCTATTATATATATGTTTTAAAATGAACTATTTCTGATATTTAAAATATTTTTATTTTTCATAGTCATACATCTCGATGTCGAGATGATCAATCAAAGGGTATTTCAACATTAAACCTACCTTTCCCGATGGATTTTTGAGGGGCATCTATAGTTCTACATTATAAGGTAGCATCCTTATATAAACTTTTTAGTTCACTTAAAGTCTTAAAAAAATTCTCAAGATGTGAGTGTGGTAATTATATTCTAATTACTGATCTCATATCTGACCATTAAAAACAATTGTGACCTTTCTATATCAATGTGATAAATCTTATTGTATACTTATACTCATTTTATATGAGTGTGGCCTTTGAATAAAATAAGATTCTTCTGCTAAAAAATGATAAGTATAAACCGTTGAATTTGCCTAATTGAGATTCTTCTGCTAAAAAATGATAAGTATAAACCGTTGAATTTGCTTAATTGACTTTCTCAAAACATGATAACGATGAACTGGCAATGACATTTTTTAACCATGTAGACCAAGTCTTTTCATAACTCAGCATAAAAAACGAGGAAACGTGGGTGTTTTGAAACCACCTTCACGATTGTCTAAGAAAAATGGCGAGGTTATTACACGATGACACAGTCGGTTCTCATTCTGAGCCTTTTGTAATTGTCATGGCGGTAGCACCGCTTTCGTTGATGTCTTTTGTTCTTTTTTCATGTGTTGACTGCGTAAAATATAAAAAACATGTTGGTAGCGGTGGTGATGGTGTTAAAACCAGTACTAGTAATCATGGAAAGGTTGTAATAGCTGGTTGTTTTAAAACTAGTATAGATGGTGGTGGTGCAAAGACTGGCATCCGCAGTGGTGGCGGAACCAGTTTTAGTGGTGCAAGTGGTGGTGTTGCAGCATTAGGTGTTGGTGCGTTTGGGATATCTGGTGGTGATATTGGTAGCGGTGGCTATAGTGGGAGTGGTGGTGGTGGTGGTGGTGGTGATGGTGGGGTTTTAGTGGTGGTGGTGATGGTGGGGGTTGTGGAGGTGGTGGTGGCGGTTTTGGGGGGGGTGGGTTTAGCGGTGGAGGTTGTGGTGGTGGTGGCGGTGGTTTTGGTGGTGGTGGTTGATTGGAGGAGGTTGTTGAAATCACATGAACTGGTTTCCGCTCATTTCAAAACATGTTTATTTTGTTTTCGCAATGGATTATGCTGTATAAATGTCCATGTTTGTAATGAGATGTGGTATTATTTTTAATAAGGGAAATCCTTCAAAATTGAGTTTCCAAATACCCACGACAATGCACATAATGTTGAGTTGGAATAGTAACAAATGTGTAGAATGTTAAATGATGCAACCCTCATGGATATTTTGATAAGGGTATGATTTGGATAAGGTTGCAACTTTAAGTAATCAAAGTAAGACGCATCTCCAAATTTTACAATAATACGTAATTTTGGTGTAAATTTTTTTAAGATGGTCTAATAATCTATTTTCATCTTTAATTATAAAATTTTAAATTCAAAAAATAGTCCAAATCAAGTAGATTTATAAACACATGAAAATCTTGAAACCGGACGGTCCATATAATATGTTGCAAGATGTACTATTGTTTCATACATATCAATGTCAAGATGATCACAAAGGATTTTCCATTCCAAAATAGCCTTTTTCGATGGATTTTTGAGATTCACTTTAATTCTACAATTTAAGGTTGTAGCCTTGTATAAAATTTTCCATTTGATAAATTTCTCTTTTAATAATGTGATGTTTGTCAATAAGTTTTATATGCTTGAAATGTGTATTCCCTTTTAATAATGTGATGCTTGGAATGTACTCTGGTGGGAGCACAATACATGCTCCCTCATGCTTAAGGTTGGCAATGGGCCAGGCTAGGCCGCCCTTGGACCTAGTTCCGAAAGGACCTGTCTAGGCATGTTTCCATTCTAACCAGGCCAAAAAAGCCTGGCCCAAGCCCAACCTAATTTTTATAAGGGACAGACAGGGCCAGATCATCATCATCATCATATCTTTTTCTCAATTAATTGGGATCGGCAACACAAATATTAGTCTATCCATTCTACTCTATTAAAAGACATACCCTCGCTGAGGCCCAAGATTCGGCCCCATAGAGCAAAGCTGGTCTCACAGCTATCATATAGAACTTGCCTTCAGCTTCATCGGTATCTCCACTTCACCCACTAGCTCTAATTTTGTGAGCAACATCTTCTTCAATCTCCCCATTTTCTTGGATTATCAACGCAAGATATTGGAAGTGCTTGTACTTCATGGCTGTGAATCATAACTACTTCCTCGTCTTTACTCTTATTATTACTAAACTTGTATGCCATACGCTATGTCTTTGTCCGGCTAATCTTAAAACCTTTGGATTTTAGGACATCCCTCCAAAGTTCAAACTTTGTGTCGACGTCGTTTGGGGTCTCATCAAAGAAAAAGATGACGGGGCCGAGCCGGGCCAAACCAGGTCAACCTTGGCCCAAACCCAACTGGCCCTACCCTCGAGTCATGGTTGTCCGGCCCTGGCCCAACCCTCAGGCCACATTTTGTGGCCCAAACCCTCATTTTTTTAGGGGTGGGCAGGCCGGGCTAGGCTGCGCAACTCAACCCATTGCAACCCTACTTGGGCTAAATACTAGCTTAAAAAAAATCCTTTCCATATGAAATTTTGTGACTAGACTAGTAGTTTAAAAAAGAAATTAGATATTGAGTTCTTAAATACTTATATCTGATTGATAGTTCCAAAATGGGAAAAATATTCTTTAATATTACAATTTTTTTCTTCTTCATTGGAACTGTTTCTCTATGAGAAACCAGCATTTCATTATGTAAGAAGCACATTACACTGTCTCTCTCCATAGAAAGCATTCTTCTCTCTAAAGAGAGGTCTTGTCTCTCATGAACAAGAAGCCCTTTCCTCTTTCCCTCTAGAAGTGGTTATATGTTATCCCATATAGGGTAACACTTATTCTTTCATATCTCTTCGTTACGAATCCACACTAAATAAAAAATTTTCTATAAATATTATATATATTTCAAAACTTAAAGATATGCCCAAAAGCCTAATCTTTTTTTTAGATTTCAATTTTCTTTAGAAAACATCCCCCTAATATAGAATTTCTTTAGATGGATAATTTTTGGATATCGCCATATCCAATAATATGACTCCGTTAAAAAATATCCTCAGAGAAATCCAAGAATTAAGAGTGACAAAGAGAGATTCTTCCTGTGGGGAGTCGCCCGTCTAAGATGATCATGTCACCACATTCAGGTCAGAGCTGGCAAAGGGCTAGGCCAACCTTGACCAGAGCCTCACCTAGTGCTCATAGGGCTAGCTCGAGCCCCTCCTAATCTAGTGGGGCTAGGCCTAGGCAAGGTTGAGCAGGGACTAATACACGCAAAGAAAAATAAATTAGAGAAAAGAAGAAAATTATAAGGCCAGGTTGCTTAGCTCTCGAGCCACAAGGCCAGGTTGCTTAGCTCTCAAGCCACATTTTGTAGCCTTGGCCAACCCTAAAAACTACGGTGAGGCTGCCCAACCCATTGCCCGCCCTAATTGAGATGAGTCAGGTGCAGTCATCTCCTTTTAACTTCCTATTTGCTATAAGTCATAAATTCTCTATTAATCTGGTTTTTTAGGACGTATAGCATATGCTCCACGTCGACCATATTGTATATTAACACCCATGGACAAAAAGCTGCCTAGGATTTCTCTCTTAGCATGTCCATTACCCATGCATCATGCTGCACCATATTCACACACTTCCAAGCTGAAAAAGAGATGGAATATACAGTTAAACGTACAAAAGCGATTGGTGTTATCACTAGTCAATAAATGGATTGGAGTGATTGGGAGACAATCTCTCAAGTTCATACCTTCTGAGAGAGGAGGTGTGTGTTTGTATGTGTATTTTTATATTTATTATAATGCCTAAATATAAAATTGTGAGGCTCAAGATGAGTCGACCATGTCATGGATTAGACCGGATAAGGACTAAGGCAGATTGGAGCTCATCCCATTAAGGTTGATCTGACCCAATGGGTCCACTAGAGTTTGAGTCGATAGACCACCTGGTTTGAACTTGCACTGGTTAGAACCCAATTGGACCTAGATCTAGACCTGAACCCTGACCCCACCCATTACGTCCAATTTTAATGAATCAAAACTGACCTGCCTATGTCCACATCGTACCAAGATACCCCCAAACTTGATGATCACACCAAGATACTTAGTTATGTAAACCATTAATAAAAGAAAAAGTATACAAAGAAACCATTTACTTTTAGTACAAAGAGGTCACAACTATTTTTGTACATCAAATTTAAAATCAAATGGTTGTAAGTGTACTCGTGACTAAACCCAAAGTTCAACAAAAATTCTTTAAACTTCGTGACATACTTCGGGCCATCCAATTGGACATCTAATGGCTATAATTAATTGTGAGCTCTTTTTACTAAAGATAAATAGTCTCATAGTATTCAATCCCTTAATAAAAAGTTAACAATAATCCGCATTAAGTAGGAACACATGATCTGTATCCTTTGAAAATCAAATTATTTCTCTTGTAGAGTCTTTATAACACATAAGCTGTATCCTTTGAAAATCAAACTATTTCTGTAGTAGAGTCTTTATAGTTTTAACAGAATTCAAATAAAACCCAGAAATATAAATTTTCCCTACACTTCAACAAGATGCATCACTTAAAAAGCATAAATCATAGATGATAATGTCGATTGGCTTGGATGGATGGAATTTGTCCTTATTTATTTATTCTTCTTCTATAGTGAATAGCCATAATCCCCATTAGCAAATTGGGGAGGAATATCATTATTATTTTCCATCCTTTTCCCAAGCTGGATTCAGAATTTAGCCGAGGCACTCCTCTTCAAGGGTTTTCGGGGCTGCACTTGTGTTTCCGCAAGGAGCTCTGTAAATAACTGTGCCAAAAAATTCAAAATAACTAAACTTTGGTGCAATAAACCACAAAAAAATGTACATGTGTTAATGAAATAATCGTGATAATAACAAGAAGGAAGATAATGATGGTGAAGATGATGATGACTATTGAAAATAAATATATTTAGGAATATTTTAATAAAATCAAAAAGATTTTTTTGTTTCATATAAAGAAACAAATGAATGAAGAGTGTGGTGGAATTAGCTACTATCTTGGATCAAAATTTCTAAAAGGAGGGCACATTTAATACTGATAAATTTAACTAGAATTGGGGTTCCTATACACCAACCTATTTATGTGTTGTCCTCTTTTTTAAAACCCCAAGTTTTGTCTAATATACTTTTTAAATGTCAATGCTAAAACCTATGGTGAACTCTATTTTTTTGCTAGAATTTTTTTTCTTTTTGTTATTACATACTTTATACCCTTCATAAAAAATTTTTGATAAGGTTTGGCATTTTATTTTCATTTTTTAGAAGTTGTGATTAGATGGGCGTTAGGATTTATTTATGGAAAAGAATGTTCGGATCATGTAGACACGTGAAGGATGTACCAGCACCCTTCCAATATTTGAAATTGAATCTTTCCATTTCGATGGTCACAATTCATTTTTTTTTAAAATTTTTTTGTTCTACAAATTAAATTAAGTGAAATTAAGGCATACATTCATTAAAAATAAAAGATAATTCTAATAAAAAAATTGACCAAATACCCCTTAAACATTCAAGGATATTTTGATTAATTTTTTTATCTTTATTGGGTGTGCCCATGTTAGATTCATAAACATAGCAATCTTTATAGGCATATTATTTTATTAAAAAATAAAAATAAAAAATAAAAAATAAAATCAATTTGGGGCCATTAAAACAGCTTAAACTCAATCTGAATCGTTGAAGCGTGCTCTTGCACACTTCAAACGTCACATGATTTGGATGTTGTACCATCCCTTTACTGTTCCCCCTCATTCCCTTAAAAACATTTTGTATTGTTTGATCCGTAGATAGCTGAAACATTTAAAATACCAGTTCGTTTTTAAGTCGAGCATTCTCCTCCTTCAGTTCTGCAACAGAAATATCCAGCTGACAGGTATAGGCCTAGAAATAAAAGCAAAACAAAAGAAGCTTTATCAGTAGAGTGGTGGCATAGCAAGTAAGAATGTGAGTATTAATGTTCAATAATTCGGACAAGTAGGTTTAACTAGTGACGCACTGGTTATGAGTCTAAGTAGCCTCCATTTTTTTTTTTTTTGAAAGAAAAACAAAAGGAATGCGAAAATCATTCATAGAATTTAGGATCCTGAAATCATTGTAAAGACTACATTTTTATTATATTATATTGCATATGATTTTTGGGGGGAACTGTTCCAAGCTTTGATTATGTGAGGGATTTGGACTAGTCACCCACCATCAGTTCTGAGTTGAATAGAGAAAACTGGAAGGTCCATCCCGATTCTCAAAACACTGATAAGTAGCAAGTGCATCTAGCATTTCAGGCTATGAAAATGATAGTACTCCGGTAATAAGATGAAAGGGCAGAGTGAGTGTCAACACACCTGGAATATAGAGAGGAAAACGTTATACAGAGGGGTACCTGCTTTCTTGCTCTCGAACGAGCAGCTGATTCACGATTCTTTATCTTTCTCTGTCGCTTCCTCTCTTCCAACTCCTCAAGGGCCTCCATTACATTCCTGCGCCTCCGAGGAACTTGGCCACCATTGCGGACCACATTCCCCAGCACACCATTCCCATTAACATTGTTGAAGTAGATCACATTAGAAATGTCCACTCCACCACCATGGCTATGGCTACCACCAATACCAGCCCCATAAGACCCTTGTTCGAAAGGCAACATGAGATTGTTTGAGGGGTTTGATTGCTGCCAAATTGACAGTGATGCGGCGGTTTGGACCCCGTTAGTAGTGGGTGAAGATCCATTAGTCTGGGTGTACTCCATTTGGGAACTTGATGAGAGCATTGTGTAAAGATTGTACTCGCACTGCATTGAGTGCCACAGAACAAATGGAATGAGAACATTCTAGTCACATAGTGATAGACAGAGAGTTAAGTGAGACCTATTGTGAATAATTATATCACACAAGGATTAGCTCGTAACATATTTATATATTTTTATACAAATTTATACAACAATTGGGATTGCTGCACAAACCCTGTAGCGAAAAAATAAATGAATAAGATTGTATTTTTACTTGAAAGATTTTAAAAATACTTAGCTACAACATGACTTAAGTCACCAGATTTGACAAACTAACTATGAATAATGTAGGAATCGGGCTTGAGCTTTAGTGGTTAGCAGTTGACTTTAACAACCGTATTTATCAAGTTTGATTCTTACCTCTAAATAACCAACATGTATGCTGTGTGTCACCCCTTCGCAACATTAAAGGCAACTAAGGCTTGACATTGCGCAAATATAACCTCACAGACACTCGGTTCTTTGACACGAATTATTGAAATATGAAAATAAATTTTATGAGTAAAAAAAATCAAGTGTACTAAAGAAACAATCTTAGTCAAATAGCATCATCTTCAAGATAGCTGGTGCTCTTAAATTGCTCCAAAACTGAAACTGAGTTTTGGTAACTCTTAACTTCGTGATCCACCTAAAACCAATATAAAGTTTATATAGTATCAAAGTTTAGATTTTTATTACGACTTTGTTATTAAAAAATAATTCATTATAATTTAAAATTCATTAATTTGAATTTTAATAATAATTTGTAAAAACATTTATACTATTTAACATTGTACCCATATCTTTTGCTTTAATTTCAAAAAGCCCATCAAAGTACACTTGATTATGAGTTTTAGTTGAAGATGAGTAAAATGTTAAATAGTTGATAATCTATTTGTATTTTGATAAATTTCACGATTTTTAATTGTTTAGATAAAATAGATAGTATTCTAAATCCCTGATTTATAATTATAAAAATTAATAAGTAACTAATTTTAATTTGGTAATTAAAAATTCCAAAAAAATTAGAAAAAGATTGATATTCTTAAATTTTATTTGAAAAATAGAAACCAAGCAAACTCATGAAATTTCAAAATTTATCTTATTCCTACATATGCATGCAAACCTTATTATAAGTACTTCAATGAGGACAATTAGATAATAGAAATTTGAAATCCAAAAAAAAAATTTCCAGTATTTTTTTTTTATTAAAAAAATGGACAAGCAAATTAAAAATATTATGAATTATCTTATTCCTACGAGTAATGATCTTATGAGACCCTCCTACACCCATGTGTATAGAATCCTAAAGGATCACCATTAAATTTGACACAGATCTTTAGAAAAGTCTAGTCCTACACCCATGTGATAACTTTTCTATAAATCTATGTCAAATTTAATGGTGATCTTTTGAGGTCCTACACACATGGGTGTGGGAGGGTCTCATATGATCATTATTCTATTCCTACATATACAAGGAACTGATGTTGGATATGTTGATATCTAAAATCACTCACATAAGGAAATCTCATACTATGTGGGATTGAGATTGGTATTGATAAATTTCCTAAAAAAAATAAACATTAAAAAAGATTAGGATTCTTGGATAAGAGCCCTATTTTGTGTGGACTCACAACCTTATATATGGGATAAAAGTACATAGAATTGGTGTGCCCTATTTAAGTCACCATATGGGAAAGGTGACTTAAAAAATAAAACTTAGCAATAAAAATTTTGAAATCACTGATTTAAAATGGTAGAAGTTATTATTAGGTTACATTAAATTGTAATTGAAAAAAAATTAGAAGGTCTAAAATTTTGAAAATTATATTTGGCAACAGAAATTTACACAAAAATACAAATTTTATGGATCTAATAAGGTTCTTGTATGTGCAAAAAAAATATTGTTTGTTTGGAATCATTGAGGAGATTTAATAATAAATATTTTTATTTTAAATTTCTAAAAAACACAATTGTTTTGAAAACATTTACATGTGTAAATTATGTTCCATACGTTGGGGAAATATTCCATGCGGTTTTATTTTCACATGCAGACCCACTATTCGTTATTCACTATTCACTATTTACAATAAAATATATTCATATATTAAACAATATATTCAGTATATAACTTATATTTCAATAATATTTAATATATAATGTATAAATATCGTTTTCTATAAATAATATATATTTATATTTATATTAGTAATTTATATTTACATTATATAGAATATATCTATTACGCATTATAATATATTTGTATAATATATATTTTATTTATGTAACAGATATTTTTAATATAATATATTTTTTATTTGATATAAAAATCATATTTAAATAATATTTATTGTATAATAGTTTAATAATATTTAAATACTATTTAAATAATTATAACTAAATATTTTTAGTTATGATAATTAAATTTGCATAGATAGATCTAACTAATAAACAAGTTACCAAATATATGTCATTCATTATAAACGTGGTGAAAAGAAAGTTTGGCAAAAAAATTTCCTACAAATTGTTTACATATGTAAATATATTTTTTTGCGAAATATTTACACATCAACCGTTTACATATGTAAATATATTTTTTTGCGAAATATTTACACATCAACCAAACGTGCCCTAATTTGTGCGTTAAAAAGCAAAAAATTATAAATGTGCAGTGTTATCAACTACTTCAAACTACTACATTCCATGTATTTTAAAGTTTGGATGCAACCTTCATTTGAATTGTAAAACATTTGAACTTTGTTAGGCCTGTACAACTTATCAGCTATGGACTAGTATTAAATTTCATAAGATATGTTATAATGTCATCATCGTGCAATAAGGTCCATTGAGTCCACTAAATTTAATTCAAGCTGTATATTTTGAGTGGCACAGGGCTTTAGAAATCTAACTTTTAAGGAAACATGGGATTTTTAAATATACTAGTCCATAGCCTGTGAGATGCATCATCTCTGATCAAATTTTGAATGATTGTTCTGACATCCTAATTTAAGTTGATACAACAAAATATTAAAAATAGTGAAAATTCATAGTTTAAACATAAAAAAGTTGTCTCATTTGAGAAATTTTTTTCATACCATAGATGCAATGAAACATTGTTTATCAGAACTATAGTATGACTATAAATTAATTTTTAAATCTCTAATTTTAAAATTTTAACTTTTTTTAAACAATGTAATTAGTAACCAAATATATCTCAATCTTATGTATGCATAAAAGCTTTATCTATGAGGAGCTAGGGCTTTATATGGAGAGACTCCTAATTTAAAATGATTAATAATATTTAAAAAATCCAAACTGACAATTAAAATACAAATTTTTCATTTAGGAATTTATTTTCATCCTATACATGCCAAGAAACTATATTTATTCGGAAGCAATTGTGAATGGATAAGTTAATTCTCGATTCCCGACTAGATTTATTAACATTTTAAATAATAAAATTTAGCAAAAAAGATGTATGCACCTTTTCTAAAATCATTATCTCAAATAACCCCTTGGTCCCATAAAAACGTTTGGAAAACCCCAAGTTAAGCAAAAAATGACATTTAACCCATTCCTTGTTGTTTTATTATCCAAATTATAGAATTTATCTTCTTTTGTTTTTTAATAATCTCATTGTCAAAATTGAGTTTGTGAGGTCTCTTTGAACTTATTTGTAAGGCTCATAAGATGTGTGTGAGTGTGTGTAAGAGAGAGAAAGAGGGAGAAAGGGGCATATTCAAGGAGGGTTGGTAGAGAGAGTGGGTTGAAGAGGTCCATTGGTAAGGAAGTAAGAGAATGGTAGGAGCTTTTCCATGATTTTGATAACACGGTGATTAGGAAAAGAAAAAAAGAAGGGTAAATTACATAATTTGGTCAACGAAAAAGATAAGGAAGGGTTAAACATTCTCTCTTTTGTTTAACTTGGGAGCTCTATAGAATACTTATAGAACCAAGGATTATAATTTTAAAGAAGGGGGTTTGTGTCTTTTTTCTAAAATTTATTATAACATTTCATAAATTTAAGAGAATACCATACTATTAAATGTTATATATAAATAATAACCAAAACGGAAAATAATATAAATTTCCATACTCTTATTTGTGTATTGAAACCATATTTATTAGGATCCTTACACATGTAAATCTCATAATTAGAATTCTATAGAAGAAATTCTCCTAAATACTTATTTAATCAAGTAAATATTTTAATGATTGAGATTCATCATCAAATAGAAAAAGGTGATTTATTTTGGGAAACTATCTCATTTTCCAAGAAGTAGCAATGTGAGTGAAAATTAGTTATCAAGTCCCTTAGATTTAAATAATTAAATTTCAAAATAATATTATTATATAAATTTTTGAAAAAGTTAAGACAATATTATATATTTTCCGTTTACAAATAAAAAATAGAAAAACTCATGATTTTAGAGGAATGTGTATATACATAAAATTATTTTCTATCATAATTCTATAATAACATATTCCTATTTTGTTGGGGAAATATACAATTCAAATCTCCATTCTTTTGCCAATTCTTAGACGGCAACATCTAAACTACTACTCCTTTTTATCCATTGTTGTGATTTCAACTAAAGAAATGAAATGATATGATTGCATGATGATTACACACAAATACACCCTAAGAAATTTAGTACGTGTAGACAAAACTTCGGTCCTGACATACAAAGAACTCCAAAGGTATCACTTCATACATACAATAAAAATAAATTTCTAACTTTTTTCTACCTCCTGAATTGTTCTATGTTCAAGTAAAAACAAGTTTTATGCTATTTTCATAATTTAATTCTGAGTTTATATTGCTTAAATAAATATGAAATAAATATTTTAAATAAATTTTCTTTACACAGTAAGATCTTAATAATTTAAAGTTTTCATGCATACACTGTCACAGATCATATGGAATATCTAACTCTACCTTCTTCTTTTTTTATAATTTGAAATTTTAATAATTTAATTTCATAATATTTCATAAATCCTTTAACCTCATGCAATAGTTTTCGAAAAAT